GAGGCAGCGAGCATCCCCAACCTGCTGCTTGGTACTAGTACTAGTACACCCCCCTACTTAGTGCTAGTACCAGTACTAGTACCAGTAAGTAGTAAGTAGTAGCGCTCGCAGTCGTAGTAACAGCCGTCGCAATCATAGTCGTAGTCGTAGTAGTAGTGGCAGTAGTAGCAGCGGCAGTAGACTCACTAGACCTGCTACCACTACGACTACCACTGACGTGTGCGGCTACGACTACGACTGCTGCCGCTACCACCACCACTGCTGCTGGCGATCCTGCTGACCTATTCAGCTGTTGCTAGCATTACTACATAGTTATTGCCGCTCTGTTGACACTCGTACTCATCATTAGCACTCGCTCCCAAAGTAGTCACAGACAGCTCTGACAAGCTCGACAGTGTTTTTTTGATCGCAGCCTTCACTGCGAAATCACGGCGAAGAGCCGATGGTAAAACCGCAGGTGCTTCTCTACGAGGCAGCGAGCATCCCCAACCTGCTAGCAGTACTGTGAGTTCAGTAAGTCTGTACCAGTGATAATGAGAGCTCCAGAAACTTCAAGCCATCAACGACCCAAGACAAGACCCTTTGCCCCCCATTGAAGTATGCCTATCTACAGTACTGTACTCTAAACCTCAGGCACACGAAGTTTAATCCCTAGACCCTCAGAGCCGTCCACCCTAAGGATTCAACCACTCCACCCCGAACAAGATCCAGGACGGCTAGGATGTACTCGCCATCTCGCAGGACACGGTCTCTGGCTCTCGCACTTTCCGGGGCCTCGCAAATCAAAGGGAGTAGCACTCGGAAAAAGTGCTCGTTTTTCGGTTTCTCATATTCCTTATGACTGGGCCTTGGGCGACTAAACTGCCTTGGAAACAGTACATGACCCGGTTCTCGCAGTTGGGATTTTAGGGTTTGAGCTGCTTTCCTCAAGAACATCACGGGAATGACCGAGTTTATCGGCTGCAGCTTCAGTGTGAGATGTCGGCTGTGTTCAATACATGGCAGAAGGCTCACAACACCAGAGTAGACAAAGCACATACAGGACAGGGAACGCGACATCAATCATTTCTACTGCTACGGGTTCTGATCACTATAACTGCTCTTGTTCTCAAACTCAATACTACAAGGCCAGTACGGTTACTGAAACGGTCACATAATGTTAGCCAGACGAAACCCCATCAAATCTGATCTGGTAGTCCAGGAAACCCCGAAACGATCGCCCAAACACATAGAAAGCATGTCATGGATTCAAACTCCGAGTGGAAAGAAACTTCCACGCCTTCGGACCAGGAGAAAACCGGCACCAGCGACCACCGAGGCAGCAGCCGCCCAAGGCCACAAGAAGCTGCTGTCCTCAACGGTTTAAGGTTCTCTCGAGGCTTAGAGGTGAGGGGTGTCAAAGCAAGCAATGGCTAGCCCCAGACCTCATAATCCAATACCCCACCCTAGGATTTTAACCCAATTCCCGAACAGTATCCTAAATCAAAGCTCGTTCCGCAGGCACGCGTTTTCATACTCCAACGCTCACTGCAGGAGCAAGTGCTGACGGGCATCTACGACCTGACAAACTGTGGGAGCACAAATATGCTGAAAGCTCCAGTGACACACACAGTGACAATCGTCATCAGCACATCAGTCTTGTCTTCCAACTTTTCCAATATGTTGTTGATCTTGTCCAATCTGTTGTTGATGCTGGCAAGGTCCTTGCTGATGCTCTGAAAAGTCAAGTCGCTTACTCTGTTGTAGTTCGTGAAGAAGCTGGCAATGAGGGCAGCGCCAATAGTCGTCAATACGAACTGGAAGGAATTCCGCAAGAGGCCATCAACGTCCATCCCCGCAGCAGGTGGCGGTGGCTGCGCACCTGCATTGCATGTCCAGGCAGGATCGCAGTGACAGCCAGCGGAGCAATTGTGGCCATATCCTTACTGGTTGCGGGTGGGACAAAGAGCACTGCCCCAGTCCCGAGAAGGACCAGGCACGCAACTACCCGCAACCTCTTTCGGTTGTTCATACTGCAGAATTGGCAATGCTAGCTGTTGAAAACGGCAGCAGCCCGGATGATGAGCTCCATGACTCACAGAGCATCCGCTCACAGAACTTCAACACTGAGCTCTTCAACAAGCATGGCAGACGGTCTCATTCGTGAAGTGCTCGGTGTAGTCGCGAAACCCGGGCGCGTGCACTCTCGTAAATTCCATGATTTTGAGCGGGAACGTGTTTTGGATTTTGCAGGATTGGTGAGGATTTCGGGAGGTGCTTTGTGTATTGGATTGTTTAAGGTTTTTGTTTAGGGATATGTAATGGAAAAGGTATGGGTTTGGGTGGTTGTTTTGGTTGAGGGTTTGTGGTTTGAGGTGGGGTTTAGGGGAGCATTTCGAGTTCAGGTTTAGGATATGGATAAGGTACAGGATGTAGGTGGTTGCTTTAGTTTAGGGTTATGTGGTAAAAGTTTGCGGGTTTTTCTATTAGGGCCTTACCCCACACCTCATGTTAGGATATTGGATATTTTATGGATAAGGTTATGGATTGTTTAGGTGCTTTGGGTTTTGGGTTGTGTTCTAGATGATTGTATTGGTTTGGTAGGTTGCTTCGTTTTCGGGATTGTTGTATTGGTTTTGGGAGGTGCTTTGTGCTTTGTGGGATTTAAGGGTTGAAATGTTAGGTGGGTTGAGAAAAGGGGTAAAAGCGTAGGGGGGAGTATAGGATGTGAGGTGTGGGGGAAGGAGGCTGTTTTGTTTTTGTTCTGCGTTGTGGGCTTGGATGAAGTGTTGGGAGGTGCTTTGTGTTTCGGGTTTTATTTGGGATTTCGGCGTGGGATTTGGGAGGTGCTTTGTGTATTGTGGTTTTTGAAAGTTTGATTTGGTAAGCGGGTTGAGAAATGGGTCGAAAGTGTAGGGGGGAGTATTGGATGTGAGGTGTGGGGTTAGCTATTGCTTTCGGTTTTTGTGGGTCTGGATTGTGGTAAGGTGGTGGATGTGGGTAGTGCTTCTGGTTTGCGTTGTGTCAGGAAGGTCGGTTTATTAGGCGGTTAGAGAATTGGGGTGAAAGCGTAGGGGGGAGTATTGGATGTGAGGTGTGGGGTTAGCCTATGCTTGCTGTCAAAGGGCTAACGCTTAACTAGTGGGAATCGAGTTTCAGACAGCGAAGCCTGGTCTCCGAGAAATTCTTCATTGCTCCGAAGACTACCGACGAGACAAGCATTGTAATGGCACGCCCTCCTGTATCCGATTGGACTTCTCTGAGTTCTGATTGCAAGCTGTCGCTTGATGGGATTCCGCATGCACGTGTAGGAAGCTGCAGAAGGCAGCTCCAGTCTAGAGGCGACAGCCTATCCTTCCGCCCCAGTCTTCCGCCCTATATGCCAACTGTCAATCAACCCTTCCACCTCATATCCAGAGATCCCCTGGTTTTGGGTTAGGGATTGGGAGCCATAATAGGGTTTTGGGGTTTAGTAAAGGATCCTTTCTGTAAAGGGTTGGGGGTCCGAGGATTTGGGTGAGTCGGGTTTGCTCGCAGGTGCGGCGGGTGAAGCAAACGCTGACCGATTAGACTTAGGGGCTTCAAATTATCGGGAACCATAAGGGTTTAGGGTTTAGGGTTTAGGGTTCAGGGGTTTAGGGGTTTAGGGTTTAGGGGTTTAGGGTTTATGGTTTAGAGACTGAATCCAAAACCCTATAGATCTCAAGTCCCTGATGCCTCGTCGCTACTGGTACTCATCAGCGGAGGGCGAAGGGTTTAGGACTTACGGTGAAGTTATAAGTAGGTATCGGTATGTAACTGTATCCGACTAGATACTATAATCGTGTGACGAGTAACAAGCAAGCAAGAGTTTCTTGACACGTGTCTCAGCAGAGAAGCGGCCAAAAAAGTTGAAGCACATCTACTTCGTTACCTTCGATCTGTTTTTGGAGTACACTTCGGAAAATTCATAGGCTCCCTAGCAAACAAGACAGGGCAGGTCAAGCACTCAGTCAATTTTGGACATCGTGCTACAAGTACAAGCCGCTACTTGCCAGCTAAGCACAACGCAGCTAGCTAGCAAAAGCACAGAAACGACTCAACCCCAGGTTGAACGACTGACGGTAGACCTCCGTCATCCATATCGTTCCTGCCACCAAAGTCTACACCCCAATATTCTCACAGGCTTCTTCAGGGCTTGGGAGCCACGGGCTGTGCACCCGAAAACACTTTGATCATGTGAGACGCCTGTGGCCAAAAAACTCTGGAAACTGAAACCCTTAGCCACTGCACTAGGATGGTCACGCAGGGCGTTGTCGTGATATGCAGTTTCCCTATATCGGATAGACACAACTATTAGAAAACTCTTCCCTCAAAATACGATCGACACGGCTGGTGCAGCGCGCTTCGACGCCGGCTCTAGCCACCAAAAAGCACAGCACACGATAATGCACATCACTCCCTGACATATTGCAAGCATCGTGAACAGCCTCCGAAACCATCCCACTCACATTTCAATCTAGGCGCCTACACAGCCCTTGGCCTAAAGGGTTCGCTCAACCCCTGAAGCCTTAAACTCCTGCCAACAAACCCCTGAATCTGAGACCCTACAAACGCCTGCAAGCCTGGCTCCCCGACCTGGGCGGCAGCTGAGGCAGTGGTCGTGGCCGTGGCGAGGGAACGATGGCGTTGACCCGAGCAGGGCCTCCGAGTGAGTTGGTGGGCGGGTGGGCATCCAGGGCTTGAGGGTTTCGGGCTTTCGGTTCAGCGTCTTCCTTTTGGCAGGGTTGGGAAAAGAGGTGAGCTGGAAAACTAGTGCGGTGTGGCCTGAAACAGGAGCGCCGCACGCATTCCACGCCCTTAGCCGGAGCCCCTAAAACAAAGACCCCAAATTTCTCCTACACCCCACTCAGAGCAGCAACGTCGTCTCAGACAGTCTACAAACGAATATCGGATTCTTGGATTAAACGCAAGCTATTTCGTCGAAGGGCCCTGCAGAATTCACCCCCGACTCACATGCAATCTCTTCGGTCTATATCAACAAATTCGTGCGACATGTTCGCTACAGTGCACTGTCATCTGTCACGAAACCATCACGGTCAAATGTCATACGATAGCCGGGTAGCAACATGAAGCTGGGCCTGTTGTCTGGCCATGAAACGAGGTCCTCAAAGACCAACGAAGGCGGATCATTCCCTGCACGGGCACTTGGGCTTCCTACGGGGATTCGAGACACATCCATCCACCCACCCACCCATGCATGCATCCGTGCTTAGATACACAGTTGTGTTCATGTACACCTACATAGCTGCCTACATACATACAAACATGCATACTTCAGTAAAGAACATGTATAGACACAAACAAACTAACTAACACACAAACTCACAAACGTGCAAACACACAAACAAACAAACAACCAGGCAAGCAAGCAAGCAGGCAAGCAAGCAATCAAGCAACTATAAACACATTTTTCATACATACATACATACATACATAAATACATACATACATACATACATACATACATACATACATGCATGCATGCATTCATTCATTCGTTCGTTCCTTCATTCTTGATTCATTCATTCATTCCTTTTTCATTCATTCCTTAAAGCATTTCACTAACTCACTCATCCATTCCATTCCATTCCATTCCATTCCATTCCATTCCATTCCCTTCTATCCATCCATCCATCCATCCATCCATTCCTTCATTC